CCGCGCCGGTCCCCCCGCCGGCCCTCGCGGGGAGTAGCGGGCTCGGAACCGCTGTGGGGCCGCCCTCGCCCGGCCCGCGGGTCTCGGCCGAGCAGGGCCCCTCGCACGGCTCCCGGCAGGCCGGCGTCCCCAGGGCCTGGTTACTCCTCCTCTTCCTCCGCCTCTCCCGCGGCTTCTGCGCGGAGAGGCGTCGCCCCGGATCCGGGGATTCATAAGAAAGAGCTTTGTGCGAAGGCGGAATTTATCCTCATGGGAATACGAGGGAGAGGAGGATCTGCCGTGGGGGTGATAGACTGGTGGAAGGGATTCGTGCCTCAAAGTACATTCATCGGAAACATTTGGGATGGTTGTAAGGCTGGACGAGTTAAACCAAAAATGGATATTTTTCACTAAGTCGTTCTCACTCGGCAGGCTCTTACAGGATACTGCAGTGTTAAGATTGAAGTCTTCAGGCGTATATGTATTACTCCTCAAAAGCTGCATGTTCCTAGAAGGGCTTTTGGCCCCTCTGCCCCAAAATTGTTTTAGTAGGTAGAACTCTTGACTCCTTGTTTCTCGAACAGCTGACCAGGTCTGCAAGTAGGGAGCATCGTGCATGGGTCATGGGAAGTCCCAAAATAAGCATAGTAAATCTTACTGAGGGAAACACCAGCACAGCTTGTATTAGAACAACCCAGTTTATAGTGGATTAGAAGCCAAACATTTGAAGTGTTAGATAAAAAAAGAAAATTTTAAAACTTTGTTGAAATTTTTCTCTAGAGACTCTTCCCTTCATTTGGGAAATTTCTATTTAGTGCCTGCCTTTGAGGCATTTAACTGGAAAAGTTTGAGAGGCACAGGGGTTTAACATTTTTGGTTATGGACCACACCTAAAATGACTGGCTTCTGAGGCCAGAGCTGTTTGCTGTATTTTTAAAATTTAATTCTGTTTATTTATTCATGTTAATTTGACCATAGAGTCACTCAGAGAGAGCAGGGGTAAAGTGAGAAAGCAAGCCACCAGGTCCAGAACTAGAACCTTGGTCAGCCATGTAGCAGTGTCTTGTGCCTTAACCACCACAGCACGTGCTGGTTCTGCTGTATTTTTCTTTTTTCTTTTTCTTTTTTTTTTTTAAGAGAGATTTTTGCTATAGACCTTGTGTGCTTGCCAGAGACAGAAAGGAAGAAATCATCCCCTAGGGGGCATGGCCATGCTGTAATCCCTTCTCTATTCTCCTCCCAGGATCTTGGGCATGCACAAGTGCCTGGCATGAGTTTTAAGCCACTGGATCCAGGACTTGAACTGTAGTCAACTGGGTGGGGAGTCCAACGACGTAACCATTATGCCATCAGTTCATCCCCTCCATGATGTATGTTGTAACATGTATTATTGCTATGAATTGAAAGTGTTTTCTAAGATATGCAAGTCAGATCTAAGATGCATTTGATACCCAACATGGTACCTATTGGAGAAAGACCAGACTGAAAACTCAGCCTTTGACACAATCTAGAAGCCATCAGATAGAGAGGTTAAATTTTTAAAATTATTTAACTTTATTTATTTATTATTATTTTTAATTTGACCAGAGAGAGAGAAAGTAAGAAAGAAAGTGAGCCACTGGGTCCAGGACTCAAGCCATGGTCTGCCATGTGGGAGTCCAGGGCCTTTAGGTACCGTAGCACCTGCCAGCCCGGAGGTTAAATTCTTTTTTTTTTTTTTAATTGTGTTAAAATTTTATTCTTAGAGTGCACATAAAAATCAGATTTCTTCATCTTTGAGGACAAGGAGAAGACCCGGCAACACTTAGACCTGCAGCACATGGCACCCAGTTGCTGCTCCCCCCGCTAGCCACAGCCCTCGCCACTTTTTCTTGCATCACACTTCCCTCGTTGGCTCAGTTCCAGCACTAGTCTGTATCAGCAGGTATCTGAGCTCGTGGCCCCAGTTATTTTCTAGTAATGTTTCTTTTCAGTTATCTTGCACTGTCATGGATGTAAGTCAGCTATGACTTCATGACTTTTTCAGATGAAAGGTAGCATTTTCAAATTAATTATCAAGACACTTTGGAAAGATAGTTGTATACATTCAAGAAAAATGGGGACCAGCAGATGGTGTAGAGGTTACGTTGCTGGATTCCCACATGGCTGGCTGTGGTTCAAGTCCAGGACCCAGTGGCTTGAAAATCACTCTGAGCGCATGTGTTCACGTGCACAAGATCCCAGGAGGGGAATGAAAGGGAAGGGATTGCTGCATGGCCATTCCCCCCGAGGGGGCGATTTCTCACTTTCCTTTTGTCTCTGTCTCTCTCTATAGCAAGCGCACACACCATAAGGCAAAAACCTCTAAAAAGAAAATAAATTAAAAAATAAATTTAAGAAAAATGTAGGAACCCTTAGAAATCACTGCCACATAATGATGTTCAGTTAACAATGAACCACGGGAATGGTGTGACCCACGTAATAGGTTATACAGTATGGGATAGCCTGGGCATGTGGCAGACTGTGCCACCTGTTTGTGGAAGTGCACTCTGATGTTTGAACAAAGATGGAGTTGCCTAATGATGTATTTCCCAGAACATATCTTGGCCCTTAAGGATACAGGGGAGGACGTCCTTACTGTGGTTCCAAGTCCACTACTCCCAGTGTGGGCCAGACGGGGCACATGGAGGTCGGTACTAACAATGACTGATAAAAGGTACATGCATGTTGTTCTGATGAATATGAAGCAGAAAGAAGTGCTTTTACAGGTGCTTTACTAATGTTTACTTATCTTGCTTTGTACATTAAGTCAAAATATCCACTGGGCCTCCCCACAGTGGCAGAGGCAGTAGAGTGCCTGTGTGTGATGCCAGACGTGGGAGGCCTGGGTTTAATCCCGGAGTGACCTGAACTCAGCAAGCATGGCCCTGCAAACCTGTGATCCTGGTCGGATGGGGGAAGGATCACAGCATGGCAAAGACCTTGTCAAGGGTACTTGTCTCACTTGGCCATTCTTTTAATAGTATTGTGATGTGTTTAACATTCCCAAATTTTAACTTTTGGAGATTTAATACAACTTTAGCTGTGTTAAATTCTTTATAGTGGTGTGTTTTAAGAGTTCTAGATAGGTCAGG